AAATTTTTATCCCAGGGCAGGGACTCACCTAGACACTGACATTCCAGGCCAAGACAGAACCAACGTGTTCTGAGTTGTGATCCCAGAATAGAGGATAAGTGAATTAAGGGGATTCCCATGTGCCAGTTTAAGGCACATGTGCTCATTTTATGTAAAACACTGTGACTGGTGCCCTTACAGGATGCTAATGCTGTAGGTGGAGGACTAGCTGGCTATGTGATCTTGCCAGCCAAAGCTCCTTATTGATGTACTTGGGGAAGCTGCAGAAGATGCATAAATTATTTTCAGCTGGCCTGTCCAGGCTTACCCTGTGTCCTGGTCAGGGTTACTTGATTTCATGACATGTTTGCATTGATATCTTGTATGTGTCAGGCCTTCTTGCTGGTATTGCTGGTGGAGAGGACACGTGGTGGCCACTGAATGCTCTGGTTTGTACGCACCCAGTCTCTGGGTAGGTGCCTTCATAGAGTTCTGATTCTTCTAAGTCTTACAAGCCTCTCCTTCTCTGTATTTTCGTCTGTAAAATGAAGATGGTCAGAGTGAGTTCCTAGTCACCTTGATGTGAGAAGAATACAGTGCATGGCCAGTGTACAGCCCTTGGGAAGTCCTGTAAGCATTCAGTAATTGCAAGTTCTTATAACTTAATAGATTTTCTTTACTGTGGCTGTTCTTCATCTACGCCTCCTTAGATTTATTGAGTTACCAACCTTGTGGTTTATTTATAACTTGGCTGGTGTGGGTACAGGGCATCCTGGGAGAATATAGGGTGCCTATGGGGAACTTGACCAAACAATCTGTTTTCCCCTCACCTGCTGGTGGACTAGAACCTTCCAATGTAATTAATTACTTCCCCAGTCACTGTTGTCCCTGGACCCGAGTGAGATGTGTGTGCTGGCAAAGATGTGGGGAGTAGGCAGAGTAAGGTTAGGAGAAGGCAGGGAGCCGTGAGCTTACTCGTCTGCTCTGTTTCTTCATCTCAGTATACTTGATTGCTGCCTGTATGGAACAGGAAGAGTCATGTCAATAATATCTCAAAATAAATGTTAATTTAAGCTCATTCGTAAAGGAGACCAGATCCCGATTTCCCCATTCTGTCTGATCTATCCTCCTCTCAGAGGCTGTCACTCGGGAGTGTGGCTCCTGCAAGTGGACAGTCTGGAGTAGGTTCACCCTGGAAGCAGCAACTGCTGTTTTTGTTCTCCTCTACCTTGTTTCCCAGAGCTTTAGTAATCAGTGACTTACGCATTCAGCCTCTTGTCTCTCACGATGGAGCTTGAAGTCCTGGCAAGGGAGTATGTCCTTCCCATCTCCGTGTGTCAAGGCTGCCTCATTCTGCTCTCTACCCTTTTCACCTTCCCCCTTTTTAAGAAATGGACAGGGTGGGGCTAATAAATTACAGAGGTTAAGAGCTGTCTTTGGTATCAGAGAGGTCAAGGTTCAGTGTCAATGTGACTACCTGGGTGATTTTTTATTTCTCTGCATCTGCTTTTCCTCCTCTGTAAAATGGGGATACCGATAATACCAACCTCAGAAACTGACCTGGAGAATAAATAAAATAATTCATATAAAGTGCTCAGCATGATATCTGGCACATGGTGTGTATTCAGCAAATGTTAGCCATCATTGTATTCATGGTGGTCTTTGAAGGTGTCAGAGTGTTGATGTGACAAAGAGCAGCAAGGAGGGCTGTTTCTGGGCATCTCCTCTGTGCTATGTGTTGTGTGAGACTCATCCCATTTACCAGTTTATTCTTCTGTGAGCTCTGTGCAGAAGGCTCTGTTAGCTCTACTTCTCAGTGGAGCACATCAAAACTCAAATAATTTAAGAAATGTATTCAAAAGACTACTTATGTTGCTAAAAATCAAGGTACTGGTGAGCCTGGTTGGGAGTAAACCGAAGGGGGCAAAGACTTCTGTTTACTGGTAATTATCTTGTTTTTCTGTCTGACTTCTGGGCACATGGAGGGATGATCTTCTGAAAATTTGTCATGCTGCAGTTTGATGTGACCATTTACCCACTTTGATGTATAAATAGTATATTCAGTAAACTTTTCAGAAAAAAACTCTCCCAGCTTGCCCAGGGTCATACAGATTACAGGAAACAGAGTCAGATCTTTCTGCTCCCAAAGGCTCATGGTCAATCTTTGTTGGCTTGTGCTTGGATAAAGTCCTCTTCTGTTCCTGGCTGTGAACTATAGGGTTGCTCCATCCTGAAGCAGCTCTTGCTCAAGGCCTGTTTGTTCAGATTATCAAGAAGGAGTCATAGTCACCATGAACCAATCAGAGGGCCAGCAAGGAAAGGCTCCCAAGGCAGTCAAGCACTGAAGGCACAGGCACAACAGGTCTGCTTGGGATTCAGCCATTGATGGGCTCCAGGATAGATGATGGAGGTCAATCTGAGAACAAAATCAGTGGGGTTTGCCCTGTTGCCCTCCCTGGAGAGAACAACTTTTGTCTGCTAGCCCAGCAAAGGTCCTGTTTATTTCCTTCCTCTCCCAGGTCCTTTGTGGAAGGAGCCATCCTCACAGTTTCATCAGGTTGTCCCTGTATGTTACCTGGAGCATGCGCTTTCTGGGCCTTCCTCCTGTGAGGTTCACCACCAACACTAGAGAGACTGCCAGGCTTGTGTTCTGGGAAGTGAAATGCTTCCTTTGGGAGACAATTTCTCTTGTATTCCTATCTATTCTGTATTTTAAAAAGAAATTTTAAAACTTTAGGGTAGTTATACATGTACTGAGTGTTGGAAAGATGGTGCAGGATGTTTGTGTGGCCCTCACCTGGAGTTTCGATTGTTAATGTTGTACATGACCCTAATACTTTGGTCACAACTGACGAATCAGCGTTGGTCCATTACTGTTAACCCAGCTCAGGATATTAATCTGAATTTCACTAGTTTTTCAGTGTGTGACTTATTTCTTTTCATGATTCCAACTATTTCTTCCCATCACATTAACCATCACTTCTTAGTCTCCTCCAGTCTACAAGAGTTTTTCAACCTCGCCTTGCTTTTGATGACCTCACACAGCTTTGAGGAGAATCGACCTAGTGTTTTGTAGACCATTATTTTGTTTGGATTTATTTGGTGCCTTTGTCTTGATGTGACTAAAGCGATATATTATACCACAGGCGTGAAATGGACTTCTTGTTATATTGTAATCAGGATACATGCTATTAACATGACCTCTTTGGTAAGATTAACCTGCATCACTTAATTAAGATTGTGTCGCTCAGATTTCTTCAGTTGATTGGAAAATATTTGTATGATAACAACCAAATGGATACCTTTTGTATACCCGATTGGATATCATTTGTATGAGAACAGTTGAGTGGACAGCATGTGAATGAGAACATTTGGTGGAATATACAAGACAAAAGGAGTTCCAAACAAAAGCATAGAGCCAGTTGATGGTTTTTGTTGATAAGCTTAATACTTCCTCTCTTATCCCATATGACCCTCAGTGTATAAAGTCTGAGGCCACTAATAAACTTTGGCTTTGACCATCAGTCAGGGTCCGCGTGTGTTATTATCAGGCTCCGTGCACCAAGTCCATTGTGGTGGGACAGCGACAGTGCTGAGCAGAGGAAAAGCATATTTCAAAATATAGGGAGAAATCCCTAACACTCTAGAGAATATGACCATTGCTGCATTTGGAAGTCAATACGGCCATATTTATTGGCTACAGTTCTACTTTTGGAGATTTATGTCATTGAGTTGAGATACTGGCTTTTAAAGGCATAAGTATGAAGGCCTGTACTGTTGCATTATTGGTAGTTGTCAAGACATGGAAAAAGATGAATACCCAACAGTGGGAAAATGATTTGATAAATTGTGGTGTATATATAAAGATGAAATAGTTTTTAGACATTGAAAATGATGTTTTAGAATTCTGTTGACTTGAAGAGATTTTCATGTTATGTAAGAAGATCAAAGTACAGCAAGATTTGTATATATTACGGTCACATCTAAAATAATCAGTGGGTCTGAAATCCTGATAAATGTATGTATATTCTTAAACACAATCTGTGTAAGAATGTGGGGCATGAGCCATCTGGGGGTCGGGTGGGCTGTACAATGGCAGCAAAGTGATGATAAACTATGCAAGACTAGCATTTGTCTAAGAGTGCATGTGGTACACTTCTACCTAGGAGAAACTAAATGTATGTTCATAAAGGTAGAATAGGAAGCAGAATGCTGTGATTTCACATTTTAGGAGTCTTTCCTCTTTCCATATCTGTGTCTACATATATATGTATAGACAGAAACATGTAGATATGTATATATTCAAGTTCTAAAAAAATACAATAGCGTTGTAAAGGAAGAATGAGAAAGAAGGATCACTGGTGAGTTCTCATTTTTTAACAGTTTAAGAGACAATATCCTCTTATACAAACATGCATATAATTTGTATGGCTAGACGTTATATGCACTGTGGTTAAAAAATTACATTTAAAAGCTTTATACTCAAACAGTTGTATCTTTCAGAAAGATTTGTTTTATAACCCATAAGGAGACTTTAGCATTTCAGTCTTTAAATATCTTTCTAGACATAGATATTTAACTTCTCATAATAATGTGTATGCAATTGCATTTTTGTATACTGCTTTCCTTGCTTTATTTGTACGTATTCTTATTTGCCATAAACTTCTGGAAAGCCATATCTTAACTGTATGTATGCTATATAGCCATGCTGCTGTGCCAGAGCTTACTCAGTGTGTGTATTGTTTGATACTTGGGCCTTTTTGACTTTCTGGTAAAGATTAAGTGTTGCTCTGCAGACTTCATTGCTTGTTATTTATTAGTTTAGTTATGTGTCCTCATGTCCCAGTATTATTATCTGTAAATCAAAGATGAAATTTACTTGAGAATAAGGTTCATGAAGGAGAGAAACAATGCCAAACTTCCATAGCAAATGCTTAGCAAACACCAGATGGCTTGGAATTGGAAAGTGTGGAAGTTGTGCGGATGCTGATGGTCATTCTGGTGATGTTCCTTGGTTGCAGGCTGCACCTGATGCAGGTGGACTCAGTTCAGCGCTGGATGGAGGACCTGAAGCTCATGACCGAGTGCGAGTGCATGTGCGTCTTACAGGCGAAGCCCATTAGCCTGGAGGAGGACACACAAGGTGACCTCATCCTGGCAGGTGGTCCCAGCCCTGGAGACCCCCTGCAGTTGCTGCTCAAGAGGGGCTGGGTCATCAGCACTGAACTGCGCAGAATCGGGCAGAAGCTGGCCCAGGACCGCTGGGCTCGTGTGCACAGCATGAGTGTGCGTCTCACCTGCCATGCCCGCTCCATGGTCAGCGAGTATACTGCTGCCAGCAGGAGCTCCTCACAGGAAATGGGCCAGGTCAGCTGCTCTCGATGGAAGTGGGTGGCTGCTGGGAACAGGGATGCCTTTGAGATGTCTGGGTCTGAACTGGGTTGAGTCTGAATCTTTCCTGCCCCAGAAACTTCCCTGCATCTTCTCTAGTACAGGAGGGGAGAAAGACTGTTAAAATCTGAGTTGATTCCCAAGCTAGGTGTGCTTGCACATCTCATTTATACCATATAACCTGAGAAGTGGGCAACACCGCTGTGAGAAGCTACTAATGGTTATATATACCATCTTTAAGGAAAGATTGCTTGAGTCCAATTGTCAGCCCTGCTATGTGACCTTGGAAAGTCCTGTTTCTTCATCCTATTGGATATTATAATAGTATTTACTTCACCACTTTGTTGTAAGGACTCCATGAGTTCTCACATATGAACTGTTTCAAGCAGTTGATCAGATATGTTAATTAGGATCACTGTCTTCATTTTATAGATGAGGAAACAGAGCTCCAAGAGGTTAAGTAACTTGGCCAAAATTAAGGCGTTGGGTGCTGTGAGCAGGCTTCAGCTCAAGCTTTTCTGATTCCACGGCCCATGGCTTGGATGCTTCTTCTCAAAGCTCAAAGGGAACCTTTGACGTGCCTCGCCCCACTGATATTACATCATGTTTTCACCTTACTGCTCGCCCTTGCCTTCAGACTTTTCCTGGCTCAGTTTTGCAGACAGTAAACTTCTAGTCATGCTTCCGAGCCCCCTTTCCTGAAGCATCCGAGGCCCCCTGGCCTACTGAGTCACTCAGTTTGATTTTGTTGGGGGTTTCTGAAGCAGCTGACAGTGATCTGTTGCCACCTCATCGCACTGCATTCTTTCTAGTGTGTGCGCTCCTTTCCCGAGTGAGAGCTCTTGATTTCTCCTCTCTGAGTCCCCGACACCCGGCGCAGCAGTTGGTCCTCAACTCGTGCTTACTGAATTGAGTGCAATTGATGTGTTTTCCTGCAGGTTGAGAAGCTGCTGATGGAGAAGTGCTCAGAACTCTCAGCAGTCACGGAGAGGTACATCTGGGCTCAAGGCTCCCTGCTCTGTGGGCCCACCTTTCTGCCCAGGAAGAAGCTGCTGTCTTCCGTCTTCTCTCAGAACCACAATGGGGAGACCGGTGGGGGGCTTTGGGGTTTCTTTTTTGACATTTTTTTTTTCAGAAAGCTTAGAGGATTCCTTTGTAATTTTCTACCCCAGGGGATACAGTGGAAAGCAGGGGAAAAGCTCAGTTATAGGAAGAAAGAGGACTTTTTGAAGAGTTGGTAACAAGGAATATTTCCCACAGCCACCCAGAGTCAGGGCAAGCTGAAGGTAGACATGTACACCCTTCCACAGACATGGATGTTCAGAGACACTCATTTACTCCTGCACAGATAGATAAACACCCTCATGCAGAGTCACAGAAGTACACTCCCACCCTTTTGCCATGTTTGACGCACATAAACATACCTCCTTTCACACTCAACTGCATACACACACTGCTGTTCACGTGGACACAATTCCAAGTGTCCGTTGACTTTTGTCCTCACCCTTCCCAGCCCCCCTACCACCGTCCTGGAGGAAAAACCTGGAGCGTACTACCCACAGGGCTCCCCATGCATTTAACTGGCCCGGGCAGACATTTTCAGCTCACAGGGGTAAATGTGAGTTTACTTCTCCTCTATTCTTCCTATCAGGGGAAAAAACCTTCCAGAGTGCTTTGTGTACATTACACGCAGCCGTTTCTTAGCGGGTGCTGTAGGTACAGATGTCCGCCTTCCGAGTGGGCAGTGGCAATGCCTCTTCTCCTTGCTCTCTTCTTCCCTCCTCTTCATCCCCATCCCTTGACATCACTATGTAGATAAACCCTGACCACAAAGATGGCAAATTGCATAAGGGAGAAGCCTAGAGGTATGGATTTACTACTTTCTCATGGCCTTTTGTCCCCCACAGGGACCACGAGTCCTTGTCTCAGACCAGTGCCTCTTTTTACACTAAGGGATCTGGGAGTAAGGTGGAGATGGAATATTTAACTTCTTCCTCTTCAGGAGCTGATGTCTTCCCTCCAGCCGACTTCCTCCAGGTCTGCAGTGGGTCCATATTGGGCACCTATGAGGCCTCTGGGCTGACCCCTTGACTCTTCCAGTCACTCCCCTCCCCACCCTGGTTTCTCTTCCCCAGGTGCCTCAAAGTGGAGAATGAACAAGTCCTGAGGTCAATGAAGGCTTGTGTGAGTGAGACCCTGAGCACACTGGGGCAGCACTTTGGCCAGCTTCTGGAGTTGGCCCTGACTCGAGAGGTGCAGGTCAGTGCAGCTAGGATGGGGAAGGAGCCGCCTCGGGCTGGGGGACATGGCTAAACTGACCTTTTTTGAGCAACACCCACCAAAATCTTCTCTGTAACATGAATCCCTTACAGCTGGACTGAGGATTCCTGAGCTTCCAACCCAACTCTACTTCCCAGGTGTGAAAACTGGCTCAGAAATGGAAAAATAAATAAATAAATAAATAAATAAATAAATAAATAAATAAAATCTAAGGTCCCACAATATGGTGATGGCAGAGTCGGACATCTCCCAGTTACATTTTCATTGTGGTTACCCAACTCTGAACTATCTCTGTGGTGAGCTGTTCACAGTATACCCAGAAGATCTTTACATAAAACACCTGCAGGGGATAAGACTGGATATTCTGGCGACAGAAATCTAGAAAGGTCATGAATTCCACCCCTTGCTCATAGGCAGGTTTATGCCTGATTCCAGCAAGAAGGAAGAATTTGAGGCCTGAGAGATCTACTTGCAAACTGGTTTCCCATGGGACCTTGGTCAAGTTCCTTAACCTGTCTGTCACAGCTGGAAGAAAATCCACTGAAAGAGGAACTTCTGCAAAGAAGAGAGAAGACTGAACGAATGTATGTGGAAGGCCCTTTGCACATCCATGTAGCATGGGTTAAATACACATTATTTCTCCCTCTTGCCTTCTGCTATTTTTAAAGCCTCTCAGTATAGCAGATTTCAGAAGGTTTTCATTAAGAAAGGTATTTACATGTTATTTTTAGATACAGAAATTTAGTGCTACATAGTTGCCATTCCTTTCCCACAAATAACAAATCCCTTTCCATGTAGGCTTCTCTCCAAACTCAGTTATTCTCCCAAAGCCATGGTTTCCTTTTTCTTCTTTCTGTGTGTGCAACTCCTTTAGCAAGGGCACAGACTCTTCTGGCTCAACTCACCGGCTGATGTTGGCTCAGTCCATGCTACTGGGCCTGCATCCTACATCAGTGCCACTCCTGACCACAGAATGCTCCTCAAAGGCTGCTCTGCCTGTTCTGAAAGTCTAGAACAAAGGGAAGGAATGGCCAAAGGCTTGCGAACTGAGGCAGGCACTTTCAGTCGGCAATCACATGTAGTGCCAGGTGGTGATTCAAGTTGATTACAGTGCTGCAAACTGAGTCCTCAAGTCCCTAAAGAACCAGTGGGATGTGGAGGCCAAAGAAAGGCGATGAAATCAAAGGAGTGATGAGCAAAGAACGTTAGAGCCGATGGTGTGGAGGGGACTCCAGCAAACTCAGGTGTGCCATATGGGAAACAGGGACCCACCTGCCTAAGAGACCACTGCTGCCTCCCAGGGTGCACTCCAGGAGAAAGGAGCTGGGAGCAGAGCCAGCAGGCTCAGGTGCTCTGACACAGGAGTTCTAAGAAATTTCTTAGCTTCTGTGCCGAGTGCCTGCTGCTAGTGTCTTTTTATATTAGAAACTCCATGTAGGGTGGTATTCAGTATTATAAAAGTGTGTCTCCTAATCTCATACCTCAAATATTGTCCCATAGGATGCTAATAACACTGCCAGATTACGCACCTGGGATATTTTCACATGAATTAAAGAAATTCGTCTTAATCAGTTAATTAAATTAAACCCATTTCTTTGCATCATAATTCTTATGGCAAGCAATTAGCTGCTGCAAATCTTCCAAAAGGTCTTTTGATTTAGCACTTCTTCTCTGACTTGTAGCTTCCACAAGCAGAAATTTTGGTCTGTTTTATTCTTGCATATATTCTAGGAGATAATACAATGTCTGGCATAGAATATTCAGTAATATGTCACAAACCTACAAAAGCTCACATTTTATCATTTTATTAATGAATGGCTAACCTATTTGTTCTGAGATGATGATGTTTCCAGAGACAAAATTCAGGAAGTGTTCTTAGGGCAGTGGGGAACCATGTATGTTCTTAAGCAGATGAAATAATCTTTCCCTGCCATGACTGTTGTCTTTTTCTCCCATTCCCTCACCCACAAATGAAGGTGGTAGTACAGTGCTTACAATGAAGGTGGTATTAATCTAGTACTGCTCTATACTGGTCTGCCCCATTTTGGACTATCCAGTCCAATTTTGGGCTCTAGATGGGCGATTGGCAATGAATATCTATTATTGCCATGTGGCATAAAAACAAGACATTAACAATTGTGTAGCAACTGGGCTGCCCAGGAATGGAAGGAGCCTCTTTAGGAATTATACACTACCGAGATAAACAAGCTGTGTGCAATAGATGGATGCTAGACTAATGACCTGTAAAGTCTCCCGTAGTCTTGGTAGGATGTAATTCTATGAGTTCAAGCACTGTGGAATTGCTTAGGTAAACCTTGGCAGATTACTTATTTCTTCACCTTGCTCCTGTGGTAGAATGTAGTTTGAGTTAAATGAAATAGCACATGTGGGATTGGTGGCATCCTCCTAGTTATGTCATCAGTTCTATTCACAATTGACCTGCTTTGCCTTAAGAGAAATCAGTGCTAAACTTGGTTTAAAAGGACTCCTAGCTTACTAATTGTTTATTAAAATGGTGTAAGTGCAACATGGAAGATCTGGATTGAGCTTCCAGCTTCAGTCGTGGTCTGATCTTGTCCCTTGTAAGAAGTTGGGGAGTCAATAAGTGGATGGAAATTCTGTTTCTCTCTGCTTCTCAACTCAAAACAAACATACACAAAACACTTGCCTTTTTACAGCAGTTTTTCCATGAACATGTTGAAATTGCCATGTATGTTTTACTTACAGATTTTACTCAGCTGTTTTCTGATACGGTTAGTAAGGGCTGCAATGAGATTAAATGGTGACACAAACACAATCTAAATGTAAATTGTCAGATGAGAAAAAACAAAGATTTGCAAAATTTTGGTATGCTCTGTGTCCCATGTTAAAGCTTCATGGAAGAAAATAAAGGGGAAAAAAATCTAAGATCCCTTTCCTCTTGGGAATAAGTTTTAAATCCATAGGTTAATGCAGTTCTTGTTCTGCTGGGAGGGGCTTCCATGCTGTGGAGGAGTTGTAAAAGTCCTCCAGCAGCCGCAGCCAAGGCTATCTGTACAGTAACAACATAGTTTGCAGCAGAAATTCTCAGTTTTTTCCTGGACAAAGTTGAAAGGGCTCTTAACACATCATGTTATCACAGCATTAGTCCCACATTCATAAAATTAAAGCAGGCGCATCCTCGGTTCCTAGGGCAGAGACCCCAGGCAACAACATTAAGCTTGGGGACTCAGCCTCAGGATTTGCCAAAGGCCCTAATAGGCACTGTTTGTGGCTGAGAAAAGTGGACGAGTAGAGGGTATGACGGAGGGTGTGGCTTTGGTTGCAGCCTCAGCAAGATGTCAGTTTATTTTTGTTGGTCACACTCCACAAAGATTTGTGGGTAGACATGACTGTGAAAGCAGTCACTATAGGTTAATTGTGACATTATGTTTGCCATATATGGGAGAAAATGTCCCCCTTCTCTTGGAGAGGCATTTGATAGGTTTTTATCTTCCTGAAAAGTCAGGAATGTGCAGTTAGTTCACAAGGGCTTGCTTGACTTGCATTCTTTCCCATCCAGCCGGTCCAAGCAGTCTTCATTTCCAGCCCCTCTCAGTGCTGCACTGATTTAAGCTCCTGGAAAAGACGTTGGCCAGTGGTCTTCATATCCACTTCAAATTCACTGCATTCTTCTGGGTCCCATATGTTTCCTAAAAGAAATTAAAGCATAAATAGTATCGAATAAATCTCTTTCCATATCTCCAGTCCTCATTTATGTCCTTTTCCAGAATATATTGAGTTTTTTGTTCTTCTATCACTTTCCAAAGAAGTCTTTGTCACCTGTCCCAAATCTTTTTTTTTCTAAGTTTTATTGTTGAAGACTTTTGCATAGTTGAGAAGCAAAATCAATCGATCTATCTATCTACCTATCTTTATTTATGTATTTATATTTGAAAGGCAGATTTTATAGTGAGAGGAGAGGTTTTCCAACTGACTGCAATGTCCCAAGCAGAGCTGATCGGAAGCCGGGAGCCAGGAGCTTCTTCTGAGTCTCCCACATGGGTGCAGGGGCCCAAGGTCTGGAGACATCTTCCACTACTTTCTCAGACCATGAGCAGGGAGCTGGGTAAAAAATGGAACAGCTGGGACATGAACCAGGACCCATATGGAAGCTGGCACTATAGGGGCCGCTGTACTGGCCCCTGCCTGTCTCAGATTGTACAACGGTGTGCTACTGTGCAAAAAGCTGGTGGTTGGGGAGTGGAAGAGAGTAGTGAGTGAAACAAAGGAGAACCCTTCATGCATAAACCATTGAACACTTAGCACTGAATTGTTTCCTTGTTTTTTTTTTTAAATGTATTTCTGTTGAGAGATATATTAGAAATTTTCTATTTTTTCCAGCATGGATGGTTTCTGAATCCAGATACATGGTAAACTGTGTGAGCATGTATACTTGGAGAGTTTGTTACAAATTTTCCAGTATTTTAAAAGATTTATTTATTCTTTTTTTAAATTTTTTTTAAAGATTTATTTTTATTATTTTTTCATTGGAAAGGCGGATATACAGAGAGGAGAGACAGAGAGGAAGATCTTCCATCCAAAGATTCACTCCCCAAGTGAGCGCAACGGGCCGATACTATGCCGATCTGAAGCCAGGAGACTCTTCCGGGTCTCCCACGCGGGTGCAGGGTCCCAAAGCTTTGGGCCGTCCTCGACTGCTTTCCCAGGCCACAGGCAGGGAGCTGGAAAGGAAGCGGGGCTGCCGGGATTAGAACCGGCGCCCATATGGGATCCTGGGCGTGCAAGGCGAGGACCTTTAACCACTTGCGCCACCGCGCCGGGCCCAAGATTTATTTATTCTTATTGGAAAGGCAGATGTACAGAGAGGAGGAGAGACAGAGAGGAAGATCTGCTGTCCACTGATTCACTCCCCAAGTGAGCGCAGTCTTGGAGCTGACCTGATCCAGAGCCAGGAGCTACCTAAAGGTCTCCCATGCAGCTGCAGGGTCCTAAGGCCT